GCGCACAGCGTCCCATGCGAGTCTGATCGACAGCACAATATTTGGGGTGAAGGTACAGGCAGAGTATTTTATAAGGATTGAAAAAATTTCTTCAAAGGCGCAAAACTAATTAAAAGTTTCTGTAAGCTCCGTGCGGAATGAAAAAACTTAGGTATATCTCGCTACTCTAATACTTATTGTAAACTCGACGGGGAAAATGTGTAGATAATCGGAAAAGGTTCTCGATGATCCGAGTTCCATTGTGATACTCTGCGCTTGCACGGTCTGCGCACGCGTGCAGCGTTCATAATTCACGAAGTCCGCACGCGTGAGCAGACCGCACGAAATGTAGGTCCTTTAGAACAAGAAGAAACTAAAATTCCGAAATGCACCTTCACCTCTTTGAAAAACTGGCCCGGATTTGAGGGAAACTTTCCAATCTTAGTCAAAACCCGCTTATAGAATACTCTGGGTAAAGGTGTGTTTTGACGCATCAACGTGGCGATTTCCCGTCGATTATCCGGTTCGTTCGTCTATAAAGTTCATGAGACGGGGTATTCCTTCCTTCGTAACGGGTGGTTCACGAACAAACGTTGTTGAAGTCACAGATAGTATTTTTGCCCGTGACGGTATAGTGTTCGCCATCGTCGATGGCGAAACCAACCACTCAGCCAACGGGAGCGTGTGTCAGTTTAAAGTCCAACGCCGTCGCCGGCTTGGTCAAACTTGATGCCGATATGCTAGCCATGATAGCTTGATGAGCTCTTTGTTGCGTTCTTCAGTCAGCCCGAAATGCTGCCACAACGAACAGCATTAGCAGACCAGACCATCTCATTCCCTCCCAGCAGGATCCACTCTTCACCGCGGGGCTGTGTCAACCGACCGAAACACTAGCACTGCCGCGGCGGACCACAAGTTTCATTTCCAGGACTCGAGAATTCAATGACCTAGCTGGTCCGCACTGCTCACACGTGCAGTCCTCCCTCGGCTCCTGACTCAGTAGTTGAGTGTCAGTAGTTGTCGTTCGCCATGGTCTTAGCCACGTATGCCATCCTAAGGATGCCATCCTTAGTTTTCTACAGAAGTTCGCGACGGCTGCGCATCGGCTCAGACTTATTGTCATCTGCCCTAAAGTACCACCAGCGTCCATGAATGAAGGACGTCGATGAGACCGATCTGGTCGAAGGCATTTTAGTAGGATATGCATGGCATCCCTCTCGGCACAATTAGTGCATTCTCTGTCTATGCTTGTCCTGTTTTCCTTTCAAGACATGTAGGTGTAGCCTCTCAAAATCTCAGTGCCCTGATAGCACTTGTAGAAAAAATCCACAGTTATCTGCGAGTACAACCTCCTGTACAATCTTCCGCTGACGTTCGCTGGCCGAAGGCTGACCGAAGCGATGCCGAAAAATGTTCTACCATTCGCATGACTACTTCCACGGCTCGTTCGAGTTTGCGGCAGAGTCTCCTGGATTGGCGACATGATCTACAGCCTGGGATGCGCTCCATCAATGTTGCCAACGGGAGTAACCAACCATTCCCCCCGGCATCGATGAGCCATCGATGCCAGGGGAGACATATGAGAGAAGGCTGCGTCCCTGATGACTACGTCGTGATTGTTGTGTGCTCGATCAGTTGGTTCTTCACACTCCGACATCCACCTCACTTCGCGATCCATCAATCAGAATCGTTTTCATGATCTCGAGTCGAGATTCTCGACCGATCGCGTCGATGATTAGTTCATCTTCCAACATGATTAGTTCTGGAGCGTCACGCCCTGGGCGAGTCACGAGTACGAGCGAATGGAGCTGAGGGTGGCGTGATGGTCAAGCCTACGAATTGGGCAACACAGTTGCCGATGAACATTATTTGTAGGAGTAGCTGAGGCTCAGCTGTTGAGATTCGGACCCCTATTGGAGTTACTTAGAGGGAGAGTTAAGTGTTACGTGCGCAGGGCGACCCTCTTGCTGCTCCGGCCCATTTGGCGCGATTGCGCCACGCATTTGCTTAGCAAACGTGCAGTCGCAGGCAGACGTGCAAATTCCACGTGACGTGAAATCAGCACATTACATTGTAATGGTCGCTCACAGTACTTTACCCACCCAAGTATTGAACCCATTGTGCCACAAGCGTTTTAGCTCACCTAGATAGTTGAACTACATTAGCCTCAGATTACAAATTAACAACGCGACTTAAACGCAGTGAGACAAAACCGTAAAGCATTACTTTCTCAGTTCGACAGTTCCTGATTCCGTCACAATTCTATTCAGTGAATAGTATTCACACAATGGACTTAGCTCACTGCCACTGAGTCAGTGGACGGCTGAATATCTAATAAAACTCAAAAATTGAATTAGTCGTAGATCGAGCTATGCTCTGGGGCTGGAGCGTAGGTTGTGTAGAAGCCACGTTCCCCATCTTAGCGCACCTCTTCAAGAATGTATTCAGATTTAGAATTATTGGCCAAGCGGATATCGGAGATAGATATTGTTGTACTCGTGTGAGCCTTTCGAGCATAGCTGCAAGGGCCTTGCGGAAATGGGCGTACTCGAGGTAAGCAGTAAAGGGTGGGTCTCCTTCTAGCGATGAGTAAAGGGTTGAGGATCGAGCACGTTTTGTGGAACTATAACGGTCTCAATCTTAACTTTGAAAGGTTGATAAAACCCTGAATCTTAACGAGAAACTGTAAATGTGATTGTTCATTTGACGCATATACACGGGAGCTACGCCTAGTACTCTCCTGCCCGCCATATACGGTAGACTTCGGGCAGGCAGCGCGCACAGTCGGTAGTTGATGATGGCCAAATGAAGTCGATTTGAATATAGTGAACAATGGATGTAATGCTGCTGACAAACCAGCTAACAGCAACAGACATATCTGTGAAAATCGTGCAATCACCCTGCGCATTACACGTGCAAGCTATGTAGCTACTACGCTAGAGTGTTGCAAGATCGCTACTCATAGCTTATGAGTTATAAAAGAGAGTAGATTCTTCGTAAGTATTCACGGTTCTGACGTATTCACTGTGCACTGGAAGTGTGCCCTCAGATCCAAGCTCTGCGTTATCTACAACCTGTAGACTTGAAGTACACTTGTAGACCATAAGTCGGGTTCTAAATACGAATTGTTGAACTTGCATGCATACTTTGACATGTGGAGAGATGATCATCAGCCAAAGCTTGCAGTTTACAGACGTACGAGATAGGATAATCAATTCCATCGGGAACGTAGGCCGTAGAAATTCTATCTACTCGATGATGGTAGAAGTGATTGATCCCACTGCGGCCAGTAGAACCACTTCTAATCGATCGGAACCGGCGGCTATCAGCCATTGGTCATTAGGCAAAGGTTGCAGTGAATAGTACCAAATTGATAGTATTCTGGGGCAGATATGCCATTCCGCGGCTGATATGCATTGCCCGTTAGATCATGATAATGATTCAATCATTACCAGGTAATCCGAGTTGATCACTCCAGAGATGAGAGTTACGATAGCTCTGCTGATGAATCACGATGGTACATTCAATGTACTACATTAAGTGTATGAGTGTTTAGTTAGTTGGCATAGCGGCCCCGAGGAGTCGATTATCATCCATTGATATTATCAACTTTTGGTAATATCAACTCTTGGTATATCAACAGTTGATATTATCCCTACGTACAATCACAAAACGTGCTATCGCGGTCGCTCAAGGTACCAAGTTGGCATCGCCAACGGGGGGTAGACTCACTCGATCGATCCCAAGCGATTCTGCGGATCTCGATAATTCGATCAATTTCTCCATGTGACTCACCAATTCGTTGTGACAACAACTATGGATGGTGTTGGTCTTGTTATCACTGATAACTTATCAGATGGCGATTTGATATATTCATTCTTCTGTGATGGGAGTTCTATAGAGTCTCGCATAGTTCTGATGCGGAATGGTAAGGCCAACTCAGTGTATTCGCAGACAGCAGAGGATCCTCTGCTGATGCATATATACAGTAAGAACAGAGACATATCCCACTCAGCCATCGATGCTGTGTGATTAACTCGCTTCCTAGCAACAGGAGGTGTTACTCGTCGCTCGCATTCGCGAATAGCTGATCAAGCTTGGGCAGCGATATGATGATATCATCGACATCGAAGTATCTTTGTGTCCCATGTGGATAGGTTGCGTAGTACAAGCGTTTTCTTTGGGAAGGCGTGTAAGATTCACATAGAAGCGAGAAGATGGGGAGCATGAGGTGTTACTATAGTCCGAGAGTCTCACATATACTTCTACGCTGATAGTCAGGTAGGGCTGAGCGGCTAGCTTCTATGGAGCGGAAGTGATGAAAGTAAGAAGCCTGGATAGCTCGATAGAATAGTCTCACCTTTGTCCTGAGTGACCAGTTTAGAATGGGGTATCCTGAACGGAGTATCTTAGATGAATCATCTAAGGTAATATTCGCGTACAACTTGGTTGAATCAAGTTCATCGTCTTGTGACAATTTCACAACCAATACTGTTTGATGGTGAACTCGTTTGGTCGAACCAAACACGGTTACCAAGTTCGAAAAGGCTGAGGAATCTGTTGTCGGAGGGTACGGGAATTCCGTCTTACTCTCCAATACATTGCTCTCTGAGAGAGTTCACAATAGCTCCGGAGTAGATTGCGAAATTTCTAGGAGATCACAGTTCACCGCAAAAGTTGTCTTCACGAGGGTGAACATAAGCCGGCGGGGCTACGCCTTAATCGGGAACTCTAACATGCGCCAGGGATAAAGCTTATCATCTTGTGAAAATTTCACTACCAATTCGGCCATGAACTCTTTTGATTGCCATCCAATTTCGGAACGAAACACGGCTACCAAGTTCGACAGAGGACTGAAATCTGATATTACTGAAGACTTAGATCAACTGTCTGAACGATCTCAAAAGACGACCGGGAAGAAAAGGTGATACTTATTAATGCCTAAGGTAAATACTTCGAAGCAACGGAAAAGACATATATTGGTCGTAACAATTTCGGCCAGATGCTCAGCAGAGAGATCCTGGATACAGGCAACGTCGCTGGGTACCCTAAGTGAGCTCGCAATTGTGTCGCTCAAACGTCAGGTAGCTGGGTGGTACAGGTGATACTGGTAGTGATTGTCTAGTTCGCCGATGCGAGCGTGCGCTCACGACGGTCTAAGAGCTTCTTGGCGTTCCTTACACCCTTGAGTGATAATAAGCTTGAGGATGGAGGGACGACCGGAGTAGTCTACCGAGAGGACCGGGAGTCATTCTCAGCGACACAACATGAGGCTGAGCGGAATGCTGCCCACCTTTTTGACTCCTCTAGGAGATTCGACTCCATCACTCCAAGAGCGAACGTTGAATATGCTTTCACTGGGTCTGACATACTAACAATTCGATGAGGACAAGACGGAGATCTAGTATTCACCTTGAACTAATTCCATGTCCAGGGGCATTCTCCGCAATGTTTGAAAGGTCTAGGTCAGTGCGAACCATAGGTTTAGGCGGCTCATTTGAAGACATCGATTGAATGATAGACTGCTGAGCATCAAATGGATGAGCGAACCACAAGAGGTGGATGAGACTAGGATCGAGTAGTGGCAAGTCGAGCTGGACCATGGCTGCCTGAGACGGGCAAATCCAACTGCATTAAGACACTGTACAGTGTGATCATAGGAAGCACTCAGCAATTCAATGTTGCCTATGTTATCGGGATCGGTTCACTTCATTGTGAAATTGAAGCAAGATAATCCCGTCTGGTAAAGTCGATAATATGATCACCATTGGTAATGCTACTGATACGAATCCTGACACTATCGATATATATTCTCCAATACCATGACGATACAGCACCCATACCATTTTCTTTCGCACGAGATCCCCATGACGACTCACCTCGGACAGAATCTTCTTGCACACCTCATCAGCTTTTTGCATAACCATTGCTGAGTCCTCATCGACGTGCTTGTGGCTTCCGATTGACGGCAGACTTGAGCGACGGGCACTGCTCTTACCGCATCGTGCGGAGCAGTTCCCAAGAGAAATCAATTCAACCACTGTTGGAAAGGATGATTGATCAAACGTCTCCGAAAGACTCCTGAGTAAGTAATAATTCCACTAGGCCATTAAGCCACTTTTACTCACTTGAGCTTTTGCCTATCATCTCGTCTGATATGATACCACTCTCCTGATCGGGTCTTGAAAGTGTACGAAGGGAGGAGTATCCAACCATTATCGGCGATCCACAGAATAGCATCGGCGACGAGGTCCACTTCTTCCTGGGTCATTGTGAAGTGCACTCCAATTCGAACGAATCCAGGCTTGAAAATCTCGGATAATGTGCAGCCTTGAACATATTCAGAGCATTGGAGGAGAATGCAAATAACCTACCGACAGCTTCTTCGAACTTGGTGGCGTTTTCAGCACTGAGACCGAGAATGGTTTCCGCATACGGTCCAGCACAAGCGCAGCCACCCCTAGCTTGAATGCCAAACAAATCGTTTAGGACGGCCGCAACAAAGTTATAATGGAGGTATCTGAAGGATACAACTCCCAACTACTGCTATTCGTTGGTGAGTGATATCTTACAGGCCGTGTCCTGTGGAAGGATTGCTGTGATTATACAAGATATTGAAGGATAAAATACCAGCACAGTGAGAACGATCCTAAGACGATCGTCAAAAGCAATAGAACGGGTATAGCTTGCCTTGGGCCCGAGTATATGAATCTTGCTGTGGGACTGAAGCCTTTTATATAAATGATCGGCCATTTTATGTTCAGCAGCAGCAATCTTCTCGATACCGATCGTCCTATGAAGATGGTAGACGATACCTGCTCTGATGCATCCGAGGATGTCGGGGGTACCTCAAGAAATATCGAGTGAAGAGTGAGCTAGGTAGAATATAGCTCACCAGCTTCCTCGCGCTCTTCGAAGTCATCAAGATACCGATGACCTCTCTGACTCACATATAGAACGACGCCTCCGCCGCAGACAGCCGGCACGGCGTTAGTCTGTCGTTTCTTCTTACACAACAAGAGGCCGCTGCTACCGGGACCACCGATCAGCTTATGAGGAGATACGAATGCGAAATCGATATAACCGTTAGGGTGCGTAGAAGGGTTCATATCGACCTGTAACAGCATAACCATGGAAGCTCGTTAGGGACAGAGTCCGACAGATAAGGGCCGACCTTGTCATGAGCTGCAATGGCTGCCAAGTCCCATGCGACAACACCGTTATATTCATGGATCAGAGTTGATACTGTCGGTATCTGTTGAGAAATCACCTCAGAAGAATGTATCTCGCCCTACATCGAGACGTGCACCACAGATATTGCTACAAGCAGAAAGGACGACCACTGGTATAGCGGAATTATGGTGATGACGATTGTAATCCATGACCTGAGAAGAACGTTGTCCCATCTTGGTCGACTTCAGCCAACAATCCACCTTCTTCAGTGCTTTCTCGAGACCCTCAACAGAAGCAGTACCCTTGACTGGGCATAGAGGTAGCGTCTGAGAGAA